CAGCTAAGGCCTGTCACCGAAGCAAGGGAATGTCAACCCCAAGGGTCGGAGTGAAGGCCTTTACTACACACTCCCCTTTCCTCCAAAGTCAATGACTCCAGCCCATTTACATGATTAGTATATGCACACGTGAACCCATGTGCTTGTGCACACAAAGAAACCCCCAGAAGAGCAGATAGCCCACCTTGCTCATAAGTCCCTCTGAGAGCCCTTATCCTTAATCTTGCCAATCATTCATTTTCTTTGAAGTCCCAGGAAAAAAATACACTGTCTCTGTTTCTCCTTAAGAGACTCCAACAGCTGTCTTCAGCAGCTACAAGGTACCCAGCTGGCCTAGACCAAGATACCAGAGAAAAGGAATCCCAGTGTCAGAAAAAAGATAGCTTCCTGGGAGACCACATTCTGGTCCCTTTTACCACAACAATCTGCCTGAGACCGTCCCCACTGCCCCTCACACAGAGCAGCTTTTACAGGCTGGCTGTCCCAGGGGTCCACGCAGCCCTCGGTCCCGCTTGCCACGCCACCAGTCTGCTCACTGGTTGTGTGTCTGGGTGGGCCACACCACCAAAGGAGCAGAAGATTGGGGGGGGGGCGTGCTGGGCAGGTGAGAGGGAAGGAAAGTGAAGCTCTTAGAGTCACTCCTACCAAACACACCATCTGCACCCCCTCCATCTAGACTTTGCAGTCAGCTGGAGGCTAGGGAGATCTGTGTGAGCCCGTGGACGAGAGAGAGAGAGAGAGAGAGAGAGAGAGAGTGAGTGTGTCTATGCATCCCTCCCTCTGTCACTGGCTTGCCTGAGCTCCTGCCCGTACTTTCTGCTGCAGGAGCTGTTTGCCGGGCTCTGAGAGGCTGTTGAATGGAATCCAGCTCTCCCTAGGAGGGAAGCATAAACTTCATAAACTGCATTTACCTTAATGCAGGTTCCTGGGGCTGCTTTCCTTGGGCTTTTCTTCCCTCCTCTGCCCGCTCTATCTTGATCACATTTTATCCCTGCCCTTGTGTGCACCCAGACCCCACACGCGCACACCTGCGTGTGCACGCACACACACATACTATAGCCAGTACTTCTGAAAAAGATCAAGGCTCAGGCAGAAGGAGAATGCGCAGGGTGTGAAAGCCGTGTTTAAAGGAGAACCCCTCGGCCTGGCGGTGGGGGGCCCCCCTGCGAGGTGCGAGGAGGGTCTCCAGTGGAGCCTCGAGCACAGAGAGCGTTCTGAGGCAGGCGGGGGGGGGGGGGTCCTTCGGGGAGGGAGGGATACTGATGTGTGGTGGGGACATCCAAATGGTGGGGACAGCCAAATGAGGAGCCACCTGGAGGCTGGGCCCTGGGGCTCCAAGGAAGGGAGGGAGCAAAGGCGAGGCCTTCGTGCAGGTTGAGGTTTGTGAGGCCTCCCTTGTCTGGCGTTGTCAAGGTCAGCAGGTTCAGGTTCACCGAAGGGTCAGGATGGTTTGAATTACTGGCTCTCCTGCAACTCGGCTAGAAGCTCGTGATCTGTCTCCCAGCCCCAGAGCCAGGCCCAGCCCTCCCCCACCCTCCTTGCCTTTGCGCCCCCACCCAGGGCAGGATGGGGAGGGTCCGGGAGGGTCCCCGCGGGCGTGGGCCACCGTGGTGCCCGGGGAAGGCAGGCAGGGAAGAGACTCTGAGCTCAGGGCTCCTCCGTGCAGCCAGCAGGCTCAGACCCACTCCTCCGGCAGGCAGCCGTCTGGCCTGCCTGCCTCCCAAGCCCTTTTCCTGAAGTGTCCCCCACACCCCTGCCCTTTGCAGCTGCCCCTTGGCCTGCTGAGGAGGAGGAGGTGCCTGGGGAGGGGAGCCCAGGGTCAGCAGGGCCCGGCTTCTCCCTCCCACATCCAGAGCCTGCACTTGGGGGAGAAGGGCAGAGCTGAGGCAGCGGATTTCTCGCCTGGTGCCCTTGCCGGTGGAGGAAGGAGACTGATGCCTACCTTCAGGGCTGGAAGGAGGTTGCTGTGGGGAAGACAGGAGGTGAAGACACATTCTGACAAGATGGGTGTGTGCACACACTTGCGCAGGAGGGCACGGACGTAGGGGGCGGCAGGAGGACCTGAGGCCTTGGCTGGGAAAGTTCGGGTACTACGCTACCCCCACCCCGGTTTCCAATGGTGGAGGGACACAGGGAACCCCTCCACGGCAGATCTGTCCATTCTCTCCTGGGCGCAGGGGCGACCTGTCTGTCCCAGCTCCTTATGAAGAAAAGTCTCTTTTGTGCTAGACCTCAATGGTCTTCCTCAATCAAGATAATATAACTCTTCACAATGGTATGAACTGGCTGGGGAACCACACCGCTTAGTGATCTGGCTGCCAGTCTCTGGGGTGAACGCAGAGATTTACGTACGAATCCACACACCCCGGCCAAGTACACAGAGCCATGGCCAAACCCTGGTCCTTCCCCACAGACAAAAGCAAGTCCACGGGTGCACAGACGCCAAATAAAATATCGACATAACCTACCCCTACTTCTGGGTAACAATATGATCAGTGTTCAACAGGCTCATGGCCGACATTCCCCAGAAAATGGGGCTAAAATAGGTGATCCATCTCAGAGAAACTCCCCTCTCGGGTACCAATGGTCTGATCTCCCAGGTTACTGGGAAGATAGAATCATAACAACGAGTGTGTGCTCATAAGAGGATTTCTCTTTTTCTTCAGTGTCTTAACTCTTTCTCGGATTGGAGTGGACATTAGCCAGGTTTTGACGATTTGTTGGAAAAGGAACATAGGTTGAGCTCTGTGGATACAGTAAAACTCGGACACTTGCCCAGGCAGATGACTGCCTTCATGTAGATTGGTTTCTGGACTTTCACAGGACCTGCCTCATGAGGGGCGGAGTCTATGACCTGGACCGGGTCGTATGGGGATGTGAAATCATATCCTTCCAGCCATAATCTACAGAGGACCTCTCCTTAGAGAAACTCCAACTCTGTTCGGCTTCCCTCTGCCAGCAAAATGTTTTCTTACAGTGCCTGGCCAGGGCCTGGAGGAGAGCGAAAGCTCTCACAGTGGTTCTGTGATTTCCTGCCCAGGATGGAAGCTGACACCAGGGTTCCGAGAGCATACCACCCTGGGCTCTGGGCTCTGTGCTCCTGGGTTGGTGGGGCAGGGGGTGGTATTCTTCGAGAAGGGAAGCCGAGGGCTGGGGACGTAGGTGTGGAAGGAGGAAGGGGTATGCAGACATGGCTGCACCCAGGTGCTGGGTCTGGTTAAGGATTCTGCAACACGGTGCAGCCTCAAGGTGTCTCCTGGACACTCCTCGGCAGCCCCTCCCAGCTCCCTCGGACGAGAACCCTGTCCCACTAACAGGGCCTACGCTCCGCAAAACTTCCCTAGGTTCTGCCCACGCAAGCTGCGCTCCGACTGCTCTCTGCTTCTGGCCGTCCTTGGCATCTGGACCAAAAGGCCAGAGGGAGTCAGGCTCTGGCTCCTGCCTCACGCCACCCTCCCAAGCAGAGCCCACCTGCGGCCGTCCCCCACCGGCCTCCTCCAGGAGGCGCAGGGGAAGTCCCAGGGCCAGGCAGCCTCTCCTCTTCCCCTGGTGTGTGTGGGGGGGTCCTCCTCGTCTGCCTCTTCTGACACCAGCACTCCTCCCGCTGCCCCTCCAAAAAGAGAGTGGGGAAGAGAGACTGGGGACCAGGGCACGCCTGCTTTACATTAATGAACTACCCTGAGTGTAGTCCGGCCACCGAGGCCGCCTACAAAAGGAGGCGAGCGCGGCCAGGAGCAGGGCGGCTCAGGTAATTGGTTTATCTATCTGGAAGCAGGGGGAGCCATCTCAGCACAGACAGACTAGCAGTAAAGTCTCTTCCTTAAGGCTATTTCCTTTGTCTTTTCAATTGCTTGCACATCCATGTGAGAGAGGGAGAGAGTGTTAAAGAGAGAGGGAGAGGGAGAAATGTTAATTTGTGAATTAATGGCTTTTCTCAGCGGAATTGTAAATTCAAATGTCACCTCACACGGTGACACCACGGCTGGTCTGCTGAAGAAGCAATGATAAGATCCCCCACCTCCCTTGGTGCCCCTCCCTCCCCAAAGATAGCTGTGGAGTGGAACATGCTACTTTTAATTTGCAATAACAACACAACAGAGGTATGCAGTAATGACTGCCTTCCTCCACCCTCCTCCTGCCTGCCTTCCCCCCAGTCCGCTTGGCTCCCCATTTCCTCCCTCCCCACCCCTTTGCTCTTTGGAAACAACACCTCACCTCACCCCGGCTGCCCCCCAGCCCAGCCCAGCCAGGGCCCGATCACATGGAGGGCGGTGGTGGTGGTGGGGGGGGTGCCTTCGAAATTGACGATGCTGCAACCCTCTCTTCTCCTTCAATAATCAGGGAATTAATGACCCTGAAGTTAAAGTGAGGCTGATACCGAGGCCCTGCCCAGCGTTGGGAAAAAGCCTTCATTGTTTTCAAGCAGGAGGCGGGCAGCAGTGAGGGAGATTCATGGATGGAGATTGAATATGCAATTTTCTTTCACCTTGCCAAGAGCTGCCCCTGGGCTGTGCCTGGCCTAAATTTTTCCTTTTACCATCTCTGCCTTATCCGGCCCTCCCACCTCCCTTCCATTCTTTCCAGAAAATTACCTTCAAAATTGATTTCCACTTTTACAAACAAATATAATGGGAACACAGGAAAAAACTTGGGCCGTGATGAATTAGGGCTGTCAGGTGCTTCCAGGTCTCCTTTGCTTTTGTTTTACTACCCGATCTGTTCTTTGTTTTTCCAAGGGCTGGAAAAAGTGCCCCCCATCCACGGAGTGTCTGACCCTCCAGGCTGCTGGGGCCTTAGCCCCCAAACCCGGCAGTGGCCCGTGGCCTAAGTGATCCGAGCCCTGAGACTCTGTTAGCCTCTTGGTTTCCCAGTGGAAGCCTGACCCACCTCCTCGTTTCCACTCCCTGGCTCTTAGGAGCCCACCCTCTGAATTATCTCTAACCGCCACCCCCCAGCTCTGTCCCCTGACCCCCACGCCATATTCCCTCTGTCCCCCATACCTCTTAAAGTCCAGACCAGATGCAAACCTCCACCTCCTCTAATGTGGGCAGGATCAGTGTATACCTCGACTAGAGCAAATAAGAGACAGACAGACACTGAGAGATCCCGAAAGGCAGGCAGGTAGAAGACTGGGGACAAGACCCGGAGATTAGGAGACCAGGCTCCTCCTGCAAGGGCTGTGAGGTTTCTGAGTGACAACTCCCACACAGCCTGAGGGTGTAAGGGTTCCCAGCCTCAGTCTCCCCGGCCTTAGGCCCCAGGCAAACCAGGAGGCAGGCTCAGGACAGCCCATCCTTTTGCCTCCAGAATGCAAGGTGGTGCCTACGGGGTCTTTTGGGTGACACTCCATACACCTGTGGACTTGGACGGCGGAGGCTTCAAAGGCTCAGGCCTGGCCTAGAGCTCTCTCTGCTCGATAGTGCTGGCGGACACACACCTGCTCACACCTGGTTGTCTCTTCAAGTATATATACTACCCAGAAGACTGCACACCTGCCCCGTACAGGCATTCCATGCCCCTTTTCACCCAAAGATCTCAGAATGGTGGAAAACGCACATTTACCCATATTTGCATAAACCACGTAAAAAATTACATGGTGTGCATAAAACAACACGCACACGTTTCCCTAGCTAAATAAATACACTTACATGTGAGAGCAGAAATGCACAGCAATGGAGAGAGGGAGGGATGCCTCCATGTTAGAAAAGAAGGGGTCCTAGATTTAATTATGCGCATCTAAAATGCCTTTGGACATTAAGAGAGGACACATGGCCCACCCAGATAACCACACAGCAAATGCCCACACAGAGATGGACAAAGGTCCTCCCGATCACACACGGGTGGCTGACATCTTTCCCTCACTCCCTGGCCCCATCCCTGTGAGCCTGTCCCAGTGTCAGTTTCCTGCACCAAGAATGGAACGTGGGCCCAAATAGGTTTTATTCTGAGATGACTTCACTTTCCTTCAAAGTATAAACCTGCCGATTAGGTCCTCCCCCGCAGACCCACGACGACCTGCCTTCCAAGATGGAGTTGGCTCAACGCTGTATCCGTGCTTCTGTGTGGTCCTCTCCACAGTCTCCCTGAAGTGAGTGCGATGCCATCTCCATTGTATAGAGAAGACTGAGCTGATCAAGGTTGAGCAATCTGCCAGAGCCACTGGGATTCCAACCCTGGGGTGGGGGGTGCCTCACTCCAGGGGCCCACACCTTTCCCCTCTGAGCCACACTGCCCAGCCACGCCACCCCAGGGACAGCCGGCTTGCCTCCACCTGGCACCCTCGTCCTCCTCCTTGCTGGGCGGGGGTCCTGCAGCCTCTTCTTGCCCAAAGCCAGGGCCCCTGGACCGGGAAGGCGCTGCTCATTGCCACCACCAAATCCCCTCGTTTGCTCCATGTCTAACCTGAGCAACACTAACTAACTCAGGAAACAAGGCTCTTTTTCCAGTTATGGCTACATCCAAAGCAGAAGGGAGCTATCAAAGGCAGTGACAGGACTGAGCCATTTCCTTGCAACCCGCCCAGTCTGCAAATACACCCCTGCGTGGGGTTGGGCACCTCTTAGCCACGCAACTCAATGTGTACCTAATTAATGGAATGCAAAATCAGGGCCCCCTGCAAGCCCACACATCAAAGGATGATACCAACACACCTTCCTTCACACAGATAACCAGCCTCATACCATATGACTTCATTTGGATTTTTGGACAAGTTATGTAATTACTCTGTGCGTCAACAACACGCATGGACAGCGATGCTTTAGGCTATGGCCAAAAGCAACTGGGTGAAGGCAAAGGACTCTGGTTTTCCAGCCTGAAAAAATACAAGAGTCTCTATCTTCCAGCCACATAAACCAGGGCATACAGTATTCAGGGAAGCAGTGTCCCTTCAAGGGACTCTAATATACTCAACTGAAATCATAGCCAAAAAGAGGTAAGGAACTTAGCAGGGCACTAACTGGGGATCTACCTTCTCCGACTGATGGAGAGCCTGGCTTCTGGATGCTTTGTGACATAGCTTCCTCGTCTACCCTTGGTCCATCTGCCTGTCTCATTCTGGGAGCTCCTGGACTCAGGTAGGTGGACAGTGTCAAAGCTTCTTGACTAGCACATGTCTCAAAGGAAAGTCCAGGGATTTTCCCATACCTCCAATGGCATGAGAAGGCATCTCAGGCAGGCTCACAGACACTGTCAGTTCCCTTTTCCCCGGAGTCACAGCTGATCGGCCCTTTACTAATATCTCCACAGATATGATTGTTGCAGGTACTAATAACGCCGTCCATATTCCGAGTGCCAATGCCAATAATGCTCTGGGTATTATCACTGTGAACACCAATAACTATCGCTGAGATTGTCTCCAGTAATGCCAGCACACGTTGCAGAGATTGTCCTCGCTAATGCCCACCACCGTGACATTGTTAGAGCTGAAGAATAGGCCCAGCTGTATCCAGAGGCAGGAGCCAGAGCAGCTTCCTTGAGGACAGAGAGGCTCACGGCTTGCCCTCGGGGTACGGCACTTCTAGAGAGATGCCACAGTGCGTGGGGCCTAGGGAGGTGCGGCGGGGTCCTCCTGGAGTGAGATGGGCCCCTCTGCTCCCTGGAGGTCTAGTCCCTTGGCATGCATCCCCACTCCCATGCCAGTGCCCTGCAGGGCAACCCCCCCCGCCCCGGTCAGTTTCCTTGTAGCCTGTGCCGCAAGCCTGGTGGCTGAAGGACACACCTGGGTGTCTGCAGCCCGTGCCTGAGGCTGCCTCCTGCCACCGGCCTGCCAGCTGCTGTGCTACCTTGGCCTGACCGCACACTTGGGCTACATCATCTTGACACATAATTATCTCTCCTATTCTTAATCATCTGAGCTGCTCCCTAATGCAAACTGGGCCTGGCTGCTTGGAGGCACCCAGGATGGGGGAGGGGGCAGAGCTGCAAAACGTCTGCCTTTGCTCTCTCCTTTCCTCTCCCTTCCACCTGGATCCCACCGACAGGTCAACTGTGTGAAGCAGCTGGGGGTGGGCACGGGGGCAGGTCAGGGAGAACGGGCTTCCCTCACAGGTGCTGCCTTCTACCAGGGAAATGGCGGCTCCACCTGGGCTGGGGTTGGTCAGAGGAAGCGGGAGTCAAGACAAGAGAACCATCCCCCCACACCCCAAAAGAAGTAGGGCCTCAGATCCTCCTTATCCCCTGGCTGGGCCCAGGAGGTAGGTGTTTAAGCCGTAGGGGAAACCGAGAGCTCCCATTAGCCCTCACCTAGAAGATGCCAACTGCTTCCTGAGCTATCTCCCCGCTGCCATCACAGTCACCCTGCCGGAGGATGGCCTTCCCAAACCTAGCCCTGCTCTTCTCTCTTCCTGCTCAGACACTTACAGTGGCTACTCATGTCTGCAGAATGAAGAACATGGTCCAGTCTCGGGCTGATCTCCTGTGGCCCTAACCCATGCACTTAGCCTTAGCCTTCCCTCCCAGCCTTTCTCTCTCACCGCTTCAGCCCTGCCAGAGCATGTGTGAGTCTTCCCACCACAGCACCTTCTGGTCACAAGGCACAGTCTACCAGATAGAATTTCACACTGCCGTTGTCTCTGAACATGCCCCTGACCCATCATTCAAGCCCCTCCTTGAAGTGCAGCCCTTCCCACCAGGCTACTCCCTCCTGACTCTGGGTTCCCATGGCGCGTGGCCCAGACCTCCATCACAGCACACATCTGATGGGCCTTTCTGCTCTCTGGGCTCATGTGATTTACATGCCCCACTAGACTGTAAGCTCCTTAAGGACAAGAATCATATCTTGTTCTACTTTGGGGTCCTCTAGCACCGAGCCTTTCTTGCCGCTGATGCACAAGAAAGGTTCACTGACTTGAATTGACTTGAAACAATGAAGGTGCAGTTGTAGGGAGGAGAGCGCTCTGTTCTGGGGCGGCTGGGCCCAACCCTGGGTGGCCACAGCCTCCTGCACCGGCCTCCTCTCAGGAGGTCCACAGGAGCCCAGGAAACAGCGCATGTTTGGCCCCAAACACAGACAAAAAGGAAGAGTACACAGGGGAGTGGGGTCCTATGGCTTCCCCTGGCCCCGCCTGGTGGACATCTCACACTCTAAAAAATGCAGGGGCTGGTGGTGAAAGGGGGAACCCTTGGGGCCTGGGGAAGAATCTTCCAAACCACTCAGGGTGCCAGGGCGCCTGGCTAAGGCTGGAGTGTGGGAAGCCCCCAGGGAGAACTGGGACCTAGCACCTTTCCGGAAGCCTCTCCCTGCCCATCAGGGGCTGCCGCCAAAACAACCACAATGAAATTTAGTGAGTGGCAAAGGCCGTGGCAGCCAAATGGGTTTCGATATTTTGGAAGAAGGAGAAATAGAGCCAGACAAGCTGTTTCCCTGTGAAACGAGGCCATTAGGGCTTCTGGAAGGAGGCCAGCACCAGGTCATCACTGTCTTGCCAGACCCAGGCCTCTCCCATGCTCCGTCCCTTCCGCTGGAGGCTGGGGCTTTCATACTCTCTTTGCCCTCAGCCTGGGCCCAGGGAATCTCACTTTTGTCCCTTTTCTCCATTCCTTACCCTCGAACGCTACCCCAATCAAAGGCTTATCTATGCTTGGGATGGCCATGTGATTTATTGTCCAAACAGGACATTTTTGAGAGATAAAAGAGATGCCGATGGGCCAAGATGCAGAGACAAAAAGCATAAATTGGGACCGTCCTGGCTAATGGGATATGCAGTGCCCCTTTATGTTCATCTCTAGAGGATTCTATTTCATGGGAGGTACCTTTAAAATCATACACCCTCCCTAGACCAGAAGGTTACTGCTTCCCCAGCAGGGACCATGAGACCAGGACAGGAAGCAGGCTCCAGACACTGGTGTCTCCACCGGCCTGGGCTTGTGGGCCCTGTGCCCTGGGCCCTTCTCTCATCAGAAGAGAATCAGATGGTCACCAAGGGACTCCTCATGTCTCAACATTTATAAAACGCCTTCTCCCAAGCTCCTGGCCACCACTCCCTCTTTGAGTCCTTTCCCCTCTTCCTCCTCTTCATTTCTCCCTCCCCTGAACTCCCTGCCCAACAGTCTTGGCCACACCTTGAAGCATTACCTGGAACGGGGAGTGGGGGGGAGGGGGCAGACAAGAGCCTGAGTGGTGTCTCCTCCCATAGGGCGGAGTACAGAAGGCCCATGTCCAGCTCCCTGAGTGGTTTCAGTGGGGCCGGGGGTGGTGGTGGTGCAGAATCCATGTGTCACAGAGAAAGGACACCTGGGTCAGCCGCATGTGACGTCATGCCCCCATCTTCTGATGGGTTGGGATCAGATAAGAACAAGGGCAGATAGGTCTTTAATCCCTGGGTCAGAGATCAGCTGTCCCCCAACTTCCTGATACCTCCCAAGATACACGGCTCATGCTCTCACCCTTGCACCCTGCTGGGATGTTAGGGGCAGTCCCAGCGGAAGAGGAGGCCGCTGAGGCTGCAGAGCAGATGGTGAAGCTGATGGCCAGCAGCCTGCCTCCCTCTCCAGGAGCCAGCAGGGCAGTGGGGGGACCTGGGCTTTGCTACTAAAACTGATCTCACAGCAGAGCAGCTGCAAGGCCGGGCCGAAACCGGAGCTCCGAGTCCAAGGACAAAGCATGCACAGGGAAGCCAAGCCTCTTCCCTCCTCCCTACCTTCATCACGTTTCCTCTTCTCACCATTGGAGCGAGGGATCCCCAGGATCCCATTGATGGAGTAGGATCCCACTGGATCATTGGAGGCGCTGGAAACAGGAGGGGAGGCCGTACTGGGAACTGGATGAGAGTAAGGAGGAAAGGCCATCAGGATAACAGCTGTGATCACAGGCTAAAGCCCCAGGGCTGGGGGCAGAGAGGGGCAGAGGCAGTAAGAGGGATGGGGAGCTCATAGTCCTCTTTGTCCTCTGAGGTTTACGGGGAGCGCAGGGCTCTACAGCCCCAGGTCTTCACCCCAGAGACTCCTCTGGGCCCTTCAACTCACTTCCTGAGGATGGAGGGAAACACCAACCCTGACTCAATCCCAAGAGTGACTTGGTGTTTCTGCAGAAAGCACAGCTCCTAGCAGGCCTCCCTGCATAGCCAGCCACCCCTGGGGCCAGCCTGACCCATCTAAACACACCCCAGCTCACGGTCTCTAGGCTCCTGGGTCGGCCTTTACCAACTTTGTTTCAGAGGCAGTGGCTTTCTAGTCTCTGTCTCTGACACTCTAGGAGATACAAGAATGGGCATGATATTGCCCAAGAGGCCATGGCTCCTCTCTACCAGTTGCTTCTGGACTTGAAATCACTTGAGAAGCTCCTCATTTCTCCCTCAGGGCACAGGTTAGTGAAAACACTCACTGTACAGTGATCAACTCGGGTACAGCCTGGCCCAGCCCTGCTTCCCGGCACACGCTGTAACATGGCCTCAGAAACTACAGCTCCTGCCAACTTCAGGAGGGCTTGGACCAGCCACTCTACTTCCTGCTGGTCCAGAGAGAAGGGGACAGCTGCCAAGAGGGGCAGTGGGAGAAGTAGAACCACATTTCAGCCCCTTATGCCCCAGGCCACATCTATGGCCACAGCCCCACCAAGCGCCCTTGGGTCAAAGGGAAGACTATATGGCAGGGGACATTAGCTGGGGTTGCGGTGGGCCTGGGTCATGTCTCCTAGAGGCCATGAGCAAGGATCAGTACAGAAGGAGGCTGAAGCAGCAGAGTACAGACGGGAGGGGAGAGAGACAGATCAAGAAGAGACGGGTTAAGAGGAAAGAGGCCATGAGGAGCAGAACAGAGAGGGGGGAACAGATCCAGAGTCACACATGCAGAGAAAGGGAAAGGCAGAGAGAGGAAGGAAAAGAGAGAAGGCAGAGGAGGGGAGAAGAGAAGAAGAATTTGAAAAATTACATGCGGTAAGAAGGTAGATAGGAGAGAAAGAGGCAAGTGGAGACAGAATCAGATAAAAACAAAAGATGAGGAAGGAGGTGGAAGGGGGAGAGGAAAAGCTAAAGGATGGGGACACCTGGGTGGCTTAGGCGGTAAGCATCTGCCTTCGGCTCGGGTCATGATCCCGGGGTCCTGGGATCGAGCCCCTCATGAAGCTCCCTGCTCAGCGGGAAGCCTGCTTCTCCCTCTCCTGTTCCCCCTGCTTATGTTCCCTTTCTCGCTGTGTCTCTCTCTGTCAAATAAATAAATATTTTTTTAAAAAAGCTAAAGGAAAATCTTGATTTAGACAGAGACAGAGACAGAAAAGGAGCTGCAAGGAGATGTGGGCAGAAGGCAGAGAACAGTTCTGGTGAGTGAGTCTCTTGGGGAGATCCTGACCTCTAGTAGCTCAGGAAGAGTGTGGGCTGGGAAAGAGGGCCTTGGACGTCAGGTAGATGGGCAGGTGGACTGTTCTGCGGCAGGAGAGAGTGTCTGGCTCTCCTATGTGGGGCCCCCCCCTCCTCCCTTCCTTAAGCCCTCTTACCAATGGTGTGGCCGGGGGCAGTCACTCCCGTCCCAGCCCCATCCGGCGTTGGGTGGAAAGGCTGCTGAACTTTGGTCCTGATGATCCTGCAACAGCATCAAAACAGCATCACACATCACATGCCTACTCCTGCCGGCACCAGCTCCGGCCCAGCCCTGCACAGGGCCTCTCCCAAGCTTCCCAGCTCCTTCCTCATCCCTTGGTTCCCTGTGCCCCCCTCGCTGACTGCTGTGAGGCATGAGCTGCCAATGCCCCCCCGCTCCCACCCTAGGGCTCTGCAGAGCCAGCCTAGTGCAGCTGGACAGAGGCGTCTGCATGCTCTCCCTCGGTGTGCATCGTCTGAGCTGCAGCTGGATTTTCAGTGGCAAGGACGGGGGCAGCAGAGTGAGTGGAGCACAGCATCCTTCCCTTTTCTGGGGGTGGGGATGGCCCTGCTGGCTTGTTGCCCACCCTTCCCTCCTCGACCACATGCAAAGCTCCTCTGAACAGGACTCCCTGGGTCTGGAGATCATTTTGGAACTGGCTTTCCTATTGGGACTGTACCACAGTCCTCTAGAGTTGGGGGACAGAGTAAGATTTCCCTATGTCTTGAGCTAAAAAAATATAACCAGGAAAGGGCTGGGTCACAGGTAGTCCTTTTTGTCCCCGGGATTCCAGCACAGCTCATGGTCCCTTCGCCAAATACCAGGCCCTGAAAAGCTTCTTCCTGTGTCCATGCACCGCCCAGCTCCTGCCCAGCTCGCTGGCCCACTGATTTGCTTTTCTGGGGTCTTACTTGGATCACAGCTTCTTTACTAGCCTAGTTGAGAAGTCTGGCACCCACCCTGTATGCTCTGGCGGGAGGGCGGGGGTGGGATCAAACACCCCAGGGCTGGGATGAGCCTGCTTGTCAGTGATCTGAGGAGCCCACGGCTCAGTGATGCAGAAGACCAATGCCAAGACCAAGGAATGCTCCCCTCCGCCCACTAGTCCGAATAGGTACTCTTGAAAGCAGCTTCTCCCATGGCATTGCCCCTCCCTACACAGAAGCGTGGGGGCTAAGTTCACCCAAACCAGCGAGGTGAGTCAGAAGCCGTGAGCAGACCCCGCTCTGGTTTAAGTGAGGGCTCACGGGAACAGAGATAAGGCGTCTGCCTCACTGTGCTAGAGGAAAAACTGGATGGAGCGGGGACACACATCCAGAAAAAGCTCAGGGGACCCAAGGGGCCTGGGAGTAAACGTTAGAAGGAGGAGGAGGAGGATCCCAGCCCCTTGCAGGTGGGGGACTGGGAAAGAAGTCCCTGAGGAAGTAGATCTTCATGTAGACCTTCAGGGGAGGGCAGGGCTGATAGACCTTCAGGGGAGGGCAGGGCTGAACGGAGGAGGGCAGGGAGAGGAGTGGAAAGGGCAGCAGGTGGTCTGGCAGGGGCCCTGAGTCCTGCTTCTGACTCTGCCCCTCAACAGCCACAAGAGCTCTGGGGCTCATCAATTGGTCTCTCGGGGCCTCTGTTTCTTTAGCTGTAAAGTAAAAAGGTGGGACTACAGGATCCTGAAGGGCTGCTTCCCAGGGAAAAATATTACGGTTCTAAGATAAGCAAAGCGGCTGTGGTGGGGTAGGGTGGGAGGATTATAAGCAGGTACTGGAGGAAGGGAGGAGAAAGGCATGGAAGCCAAGTTAGTTTTAGGGTTTAAAGCCCAGACTGGCTAGCCAGGAGCAGTGGAGGTACGTAAAGGAGAAAGAGGAAATAAGGCTGAAAACTTGGAAGTAATGATGGTAAAAGTGATTTTCCATCTGTTCATCATCTAGTAGGTGCCCAAATTATATGCAATTTATATCACTTATACATACGACGGCTCCTTCTCCCAACAACCTCCCGAGTAGATACTATTCTCCTTTTGCAGGTTGAAAACCAAAGCTGACAGAGGTTAAGTGGCTCAGTCAAGACCACACTGTTGGTGAAGGCGGAGGTAGAACTCCGTCCCTAAAACGGGTGCTCTCCGTGACTTTGTCACACTTCTGTCAACACGCAGCAGCCAGGGTTAGAGTGAGTCTCAAGCCGGGAGTGATCTCGAAATTAGAGATCCGGGTAAGGCAGCACACAGGCACGAGGTCTCAGGAAGGAAAGGAAAGAGTCTGCAAGACACTGTGAAAGCAGAATGACCAGGATTTAGCAACTGGCTGGAGTCAACCACGGCCCTAAGACCCTCAGTTCTGGGGACAAGGCAGGCTGGTGCTTTGTGCCGCTGTCAGGAGAGGATAGGGAAGGAGGTGGCTGGTTTTGTCTTAGGCTTGCAGTGTCTGGGGTGGTAAGGGAGTGTCCAGCTGGCACAGTAGACACAGATCTTAGACTGTCAAGGAAAAGGGTATTGATAGAGACAAGGGACCTAAGGAGCGGGTGTCTGGAGGGCACCCACCTTCACAGGCTGAGGAAAAGAACCTGACCTCGCAGAGGGCTCAGAATTGGTCACATTGGAAATGGCAGGACCACGATGGGGCCATTTCACCTAAGTCATTGGTGAAGAATGTTTCCAAAAGGAGAGTATAATTCGCAGCATCAATGACAATGTAAAGACTGGAGGGAACTGGGAATAAGAAGAGGCACAGATTTGGGAATTTGGGGGACGGCGGTCTCATCAAAGCAGCTGGGACAGGACAGAAAGAGGTTAGGGAGTGAACAGGAGGAGAGGGAGGCAGTGAAAGTAGACCAGTGCCTTCAGAAGTCTGTAGGAAAGGAGAGGAGAGGAAGTGTGGAAACCAGTGGATGGAACTGGCAGCTGAGGGGGAGGGAAGGCCATTTAAGGTAGGAAGGACCTGGATACGTTGGCAGGCTGAGGAGGTAGAACTAGGGGGAGAGCCTGAAGTTGCCTGGCAGGATGCAGATGACTGAGAGAACAAGGCAGAGCAAGGAGAGGCAGCAGGAAGAGCTGGCGAGAGAGATGGTGCATTTTGAGGTGGCTAAGAGCTCTGAAAAGGAGCTTTTACAGCTCCTCTCTCTCAGCACAGCAAAAGGCAAGTTCATCTTCCTAGAGCTGGGGGAAGGTTTGGAGCATAATCACAATGGGAAAGATCAGACAGGAGCTGAGGCCCGTTGAGAATGGTCTATAGGAAAAGTCTAGAAGGGGGCTGTGCAGCTCAGAGCAGCCACTCTGAATTCATTGCAGCAAAATCTTCTGGGATCTCACTGGGCCTGCTGTGTGGGGGCTCTGGACTGCAGGTTGGTGAGCCCTGGACTAAGGAAACCCCAGGGCTGGGGCTGGTTGACTCAGATAATTGGATTGCCTTGCGGAGTTTCTATCTTTGTTACCAAGAACCTCTGACCCCTGGGGCACTGGTGTAGATTTAGTCGAGGCAGCAAGTGATGGAAAATCACTACTCCCTGATAGCGGCTTGGGGATCCGTGGGAGAGGAGCTGGGCAGGGCGCCTGTGTGAGTTACTCGTCTTCTTGGTGTCCATCCATGCCCCCCCAGGAAGTGGACACTTGCTAGACTCCAGAGCTGATCTGGGGAAATTTAAGAACTGGAATCGTGGATACCTGGTGGTTATTGATTGCTGACCTGGAATCCCGTACATGACTGACAACGCAGGGGATTATCACCAGAGCTTCAAAAGATCTTAAAAAGCTTAAAAAGTGTAGGACTGCTGTGGGTGACTGTCTGATACTACTTTCCCATTTCTCCTCATTCTCTCCCCATCTTTTTCATTCTTGGCACTGCAAGACAGCCAGACACATGCATGTCCTCCACGGCCCCAGGTGGGTCTGGCCCTCAAGTCAAGTGTGCAGGTAAAGATCTTTGGGGGATCAGTGGGGAGTCCGGGAGCCCATGTCTCTACTAGGCAGCTAGCAAGTGCCATTTCTTGTTGCCATGGGAAAACGGCCCTGTCAGGACCCCTGCTCCCTACTTCTCTTTCCAGCATATTCTCCTTCACAGGGATGGGCCCTTCCTCCCCAACCTTTCCTGGCTTGGCCTGAGCCCAGCAGGAGGCACTTGAGGAGCTTGGCAAGGGTGTGACTAGGGTAAAGGGATGAAGGGGTGGGCTCTGGGCCCAGTCTGCCTGAGTCTGAGTCCCAGCTCAGGGGACTTTCTCTAATGAGACCCCTGGCAGTTTCTTACTCCCTCACCTGTAAAAGAGGATAATAATACTGTCCACCTCCCAGGATTGTTGTGAGGTTTAAATAAGATAATGCATGTCAGATGGTTAGTATGATGCTTGGCTCAGTAAATCCTAGTGCTAATAATAATAACAACGTCTAGGAGTAGCCATGTTCCTGTGGGTGGCCATCAGGACCAGCTGCCTTCTATTTAGGGACTGAGCCAGGTGCAGGCAGGAGGCCTCGAAGGCCGACATGGTCCAGCCGGGTCAGTGCCGCCGCTATGGGGGCCCCCGACAGAGCACTGAGAAAACAAGAAGCAACAGCAGCAGTTGTCGTAGCCTGACCGCAAAAGAGGCACATCAGAGAGACGCTCAGTGAGACGGACTAGGGCCCTCCACCCAGGATCCCTGGGAGGGATCCACAGACAGCATGAGCCCGAGTTTCTTCGGGGCCCAGTAGATGCCAGGGGGCCGTGACTGTGCTTCCAAGGATAAATGACAAGGCAGGTGAAGTCACTCTTTCCTTGGTTAAATTCCCAGGAGGCCTCCACCTCCCACCAAGCTGGAGATCAAAACAGTTTCATCAGCTCTGTGAGTTAGAATGAAAGCAGGTAATGAGTCTCCTATTAACAGTTTGCTAAACTCATGGAGAAACCGAGGAGCTCTCAACATTCTAAAAAGCACCAAGGAAATCCTTCCTCCTCTTCTGGTTCTCCTCCTTTTCCCACTTCCTCTTCCTCCTCTCCTTCCTTCCTCTGTGTGTCATTCTCTGTCTCTCTGCCCCGTGGCTCTCTCTGCCCGTCTACGGGTCTCCCTTCTCTGGGTCCGTCTGTCTCTCTGCACCCCGTAGTCCCACTGTGGCTGTGTGAGGTTATTGATTCCTGGGAGCTGGGGGAAAGCAGGAGGCAGGGCTGGGGTGCAGGCTCAGGGATGGAAATAGAAGGCTATAAATTATTTGTGACAGGAAAGCAATAGTGGCAGAGTGCTGAGCACAAGTCCTGTGTCACTATTAG